TACTGACGGGGACGCGCCCGTGACTCTGGGCTCCGTACTGACGGGGACGCGCCCGTGACTCTGGGCTCCGTACTGACGGGGACGCGCCCGTGACTCTGGCCTCCGTACTGACGGGGACACCATCCTGATTTTGGTTTCATACTATTAGAGACACTGTGGTGACTCTTACTTTCTCTTCCTCAGCCCTGGCATCCAGTGGGACTCTGCCGATATCCGTCGATGGAAATGGGAACCTGTTGTTTGCGAATGCTAGTGCCGGAACCACCAACCTGGTACCTGCTCCACTTTTCCTGAACCCACAGAACTTGTCCCTGCTGACTAGCAACCCAATCAGCTTAGTGTCTGCGAGCGGGGCTGTGGGGGGAGCTGGAAGCGGGGCCCTCAACCTGCAGGTCGCCTCTGTTCCCCATGGCGATTCCCACCACGGCACGGTGACCTCCACCAAGGCCCAGTAAAGACCGTACTGACTGATCTGCTGCCACCAAGAGCGAAGCCTGTGCTGGACGTCCCTCCTGCTGTTTTTCCGTGAGCTTCAGGCCTAAAGACACATCCTGGGTCTTCATGCTTGATTGTGTGGTTCTTGGCATGTAGGAACTTCTTGGGTCTTTTTTGCAAAGACTGCTACTGAAAGAAACGTAGGCAATTCTAATCTAAGAAGATCAACTGCATTGACATATTTACAGAAGTAATTATTATTGTACTGATTATCTGTCTCACATATGGAGGGTGGGTGAAACTTTTATATAGAAGCTTTTCAGTGTTCACTGCTGTGCGTGCTGAAGAGGCTATGAGTGTGTGTGTGTGTGTGTGTGTGTGTTGACTTTCTTAGTGAATTTTTTTAGCTTTATATTGTCCTTAACTGAAACCTTAAACACGGTTAGAAGGCTTTAAGCTTACAGGGAGCTGTGTTCTTGCTTGGGCTCGTTTTACTGTAAGGAATCGTGCTATTCAACATGTGTCTCTCTAAAACACTGGTACTGCAGGAGTTTGCATGAATTAATAGGGTGGTGAGGACAATAGACAACACTGATTTTTGTACTCTAATTGTGAGAGCTTTACAGGAAGCTGACGTGCTGTGGTTTTGACTGTCGTAACTGGCACAGGGAGCGCTGGTGGCGGCGCTCTCCATCCTCATGCCTTAAGGTCCTTTGTGCGGCCTCTCAGCGCAGGTGTCGCTCCTGGCCTTTTGGGTCTGGCCCGACGCTTCGGGGCCGTTCTGTGCCCAGAACCCGAGGACCATGTTGGCACCAGCTGCTCTGTGGCTCATTGATCTCTCTACTCTTTAACCAGCTTCTATTCAGATACCAAAAATATCACGTGTCTGTATGTTTCTGTAGATTAGCATAAAAGTGTCTATTAGGAGAATCCCTACTTGGGTCATGACTGATAATGCAATACTGTCATGACACTTTCCAAAGACTGATGGGCGAAATACTTTAGTTTCCATGTGAGGAGGTGTGTGTGTGTGTGTGTATGTGTGTGTGTGTGTGTGTGTGTGTGTGTGTGACAGAGAGAGAGAGCGAGAGAGAGAGAATTAGTGCATTAAAGCAAACCGTAGGGAGGAGATGCTTAATGAGCTTGGATTACTGGTCAGGCACATTTTTATGCTTGATTTTTAAAGAAATGTTTGAAACCTTAACGTCCACTCCATGTGATAATAAAACTGCATGTGTGTATTGACTTTTTTTTTTCTTTCTAGAACAACAGTCTGTCGTGTGCTCTGTATCAGTCTGTTCTACATTGGACTGACTCTAACTTTGTGAACCATGGTCAGGCTTTTGTGGAGCTGTTTTTTTTCCCCTTCCCTTACAAACTTTAGCCACCAAACGAAAGCTTGAACCAAAGTTGTTCCCTTTTGCTGCTGCTGCTTTGTCTGGTCTGTCTGTCTGTCTGTCTGTCTGTCTGTCTGTCTCTGTCTGTCTGTCTAAGGATGTTACTGTGTGACCATGATTAAGACTTCACCACTGTATAAACATCTGACTACTTATCTTTCATTTAAACGTTTTTTTCAAGAAATTGGTGTTGGTAACTAGTATCTAGCTCTAAACCAATTTGCGTCGCACCACCAGGTGGAGTGTCTCTATGGGCCAGTACCCCCCCCCCCCTCCCATGTTGTGTCTCCTATCACTACTACTGCATTAGTGTGGTTTTCTCAGTAGATTCAGACTGAGTAATGATGTAGAGGTCTTGCTTATCACAGGACAGGTTGTGTATGTATTAGAGATGCACCGATTGTAACGGCCAGCTATCAGTATCGGCCAATACAGCAACAATTAGCCATCAGTGAATCATTGTAAATGAGCCGATATTTCCCACTTATAATTCCCCATATTGTTTTGCATGCCTGCGTACTAAACGGTAAGAAAAATGTCTGCTGTGTGGAATTTTATTGTTCACAAAGTCATTAGACCTTAGAAATGTATTTTGCAAACATTGCTCTGCTAAACTTTCACGAGGAGGATCCATTAATAACCATTTCAATGCAGTAAATTTGATTGCTCTTCTTAAGGTGGGACAGTGAAGAGTAACAAATCCGCTCCTATAAAGAAGGCTGCTGTACAGCCAAATAACGTTATTCCATCAGTAGTGCGAGCATTTAATGGCAAAAATAATCCGTGCAGACAGTGTGAAGTCAAAAGATAATAGGAAAATTATGGAATTAATCACACTTGATTGGTCAGCCCTTCTGTTTATAAATGTTATAAATATGTAAGATGTATACAGTTAGAAAATATAGTGCTCTGGGACTATTGTATGCCAGAGTTGGTGGGAAAATACTTATTCATGCTTTTGGAATGTAACTTATTTATTTTTTTAATTTATTTGGGTGGAATGTCCTTTAAACTTATTTAAGCAGAACCTCCCAAACAATCGGTATCGGTAATGTCAGTTTTCTAAATAACTGGCTATTGGTATCAGCCAGAAATGTCCTTATCGGTGCATCGCTAGTATGTATCTGAGATAGCTAGTGGTTTACTGGAAAAATACAGCAAATTCCAGCGGCCAGTAAATTAGAAAAAAAGTATTGGTAATTCCCTGTATTTAAATTAAGGTTTTCACTTATTAAATATGGTGATTTGTAAATAATGATGTGTTAGTGTTTGTCACAGTTCCAGCTGCCTTGCCGTGACGCTTTGCGGGGACATGGCCTGGTTCATGGAGCCTTCAGTTGATGGCTGAGTTCCTGACCTCCTGTAGGCTGGTAATTAACAAGGAAACAGACTCTAAAGCCACTGGTCTTAACATGTGAAGATACTCTTCCTTTTTTTTATTCTTTTGATAGAAATGAATAACAATCAGTTTTTCTAGCCTTTGAAATTTCGTTGTATTATTTCCTTGGCTTTGACCCCTAACCCTTCAGAATTGCCATTTAATGATTCCATCACCATATATGCTTGTAAGGGGTACATTTCTTGGTGTGGATGCTTTCACACACTGCAGTGGTGCGTGATCTTTGGCTGATCGTCAATATGGTGTAACTGGATGATAGGTGGGATTAGGGTTGCAAAGAGGCAGAATATTTAGGGAAGCTTTCCATGGGAAGTTAAGATGGGGAATTTTGGAAATCTAGAGCCCCATGGGACTCTGCACAAGCTGTCAGATGTGGCAAAGAAAGCAAACTATATAATATGTCTTATAAGCAGTGCGTTTTAATGCGTATGCTTGTTTTGGGATGTTTCTGCATATACAATTACAAGCGCTTGGTCACAGAGTGATAGCATTATTATTGCCATCAAGATGATTTTTTTTCCCCCAACTACAACTACGTTTATGTTTCCTGTTATAGGCTGATCTGCAGTTTTGAAATTTTCCAGTTTATTCCTAGTAATTCCAATATATTCCCATTAATTCACATAGAATGTTTCTCAGAATTTTGCCTGCAAGAAAGGTTAGGGATAAATGGAAGTTAATCATGGTGGAAGGGGAAGCATGAGGCCGTGAAGATCTTCATAAAGCTGGCTGAGTGTGTCTGAGGTGTCCTTTCAAATGTACTACAAGTTCTGGGCTGGGGATGCGTGTGGAGTGCCACCTCGTCGGTGCCTGTGTGGGGAGGCCCCTTCATAAATGACCGCTGACTGAGGTGTGAATGTCGAATGTCGGCAGCACTCCGTTCACTATACCCTTTCACCATTACATCCCCTTGTGCTGCCTTTTTCTGTTAGGTAGCTATAGCACTGTCGTGGACTTGTTCATTTCTACTAATGTATGACAATCCTTCTGATGTGGCGTCTTCATTTCTTGCTGAATGTATACGTAAGGGTGTGTGTGTGTGTGTCCATCCTCAAGCTTCAGAGAAAACCAAAGACGTCAGCGTGTCCCCGGTCCTGGCCTTCCTGTGACAGATACCAAAACGTCACCTTGCTGTCTGCTTGGGGTTGTGTGTGGTTGTGTTCTGGAATACACAGTTTGTCCGTCACCGCTCCCCGTCCCTCACGTTTGCTCCCAGAGTGTGCTTCGTTTTGGCCGTATAGCTATGCATCGTGCTCCAGGGCTGGACTCGGTCTGTCTCGGCACAGCTGTAAAGAGACCTCTGTCACTTTCCTGTTTGTGTGTTGCCTTTCTGGGGAGCTAAACGTGGGTGGGAGGGTCCTACACACTTTGTGCCGGAGCAAAAACCCAAATGAAACGAGTGGACCGGCCGCCCTGCCTGCCGCACATACCAAAGATGGCCCAGCCCGCTGAGTTCACTCTGGGGAGGGCAGCCTATTCCAAAGTTTTAGTCTTTATTTTGGTACATTTCTAGGACACTTGAGGAGGGGTGGGACAATTTAAAACCCCCTTGTTGATTTTGGTGTAAAGCGCTTTCCTGTCATAGCATGCAGTTTAAATACAAAGTTGTCGTACTCTTGTTGGGGGAAGACTGGCCTTTTGTACTGGATATATATCGGCTAAGTTTCAAGTTCCATTTTCCTGGGAGTCATCATTTTAAAATGTAAACACAAGCTGTACATATTTCTTAAGTTGTTACTTTTAGATGATCATTCTGACAGTTAATTGTGTGAGGCTGTTCTACCTTTACTATATTTTGACTTAAGCTTTTGCCATTTTTTCTTTCTGCTCATACCTGCTGTGTAGCTTACACTGTTGTCATGGTGACCCTTGAGTGACAGGTGTAAGAGTTACACCATAAAAGGGGAGGGGGCAGGATATATTTGTCCCTTTCATCACACTGCTGTTGCTCATGTTGGTTGCTATGGGGACAAATGCCTTTGGCCTCCAATTATAAAGCAACTCAGACATAAAGGGTTAAAATCTGGGCAGGACTATTAGAAATATGAATTTGGGTATATACATTGATGTTTGTCTGCTGTATTTTGTTTTTATATATGAATTCTTACTGTAACTGTACAGTATACTTACTGTAAACGTTAAACCATTTTCCAGTCTTTGTAAAGGTGTCTCCTTGATAGTGAAATTCTTTTATAATTAAAATCTAATTAAAATTCTTTGATACACATACATGTCTCCCTGTGTCACTTTTAGTCTCAAATATCGGCAGACTCGTGGGTGAAGGGTAAATAAGGACTTTCAGTTGAGAACAAAGGGGAACAGGAAAGCTAGTTTAGGTCGAGGCAGAGATGGGGAGAGAGAGGGACATGCATTTCAGGCCAGCATTTGTATTTGCAGTTCACTTCACAGTAAATCTGACTGAAGAGACTCGACATTACACTTCATGTGTATATATAGATAATATATTTACATATACATTTAAAGTACAAACTAGAACAGAAACATACATTTTTCCTTTAATAAAGTTACCTATTTTCCAAGCTGTTCTACTCTGCAAATTCACACATTTCTATACTCATATTTCAGATTATAAAAAAAAGTTTCCGTAACACTAACAGCACTGATCAGTAATAATACTAACCACATACAATGATGTTCCATTGTTAATCACACTGAAATGTAGATCACTAATCCTTGGTTATACCAATCTGTTTAAGTATCCTCCTGGTTTGCATTTTATTGGTTATACAGGCCCATAATAATATAGCTGTAACCTCAGTTTATATACACAGTTATCGAGCACTTCTGGTTTGCACCTCCTCAAAAGTAAGGACCACCGGTGCAATTGTGAGGGCTCACCAGCAGAGGGCAGTAGGCTGCTGTGGGAGCCTCTAAGGCAGTGTTTCCCATCCCAGTCCTCGGGGAACCCCGGCCAGTCCACATTTTTACTTCCTTTCATCTCCCAGCACTCCTGTACCAGGTATTGGGTGTTCCTACAGTAATTGGCTGAGAGCTGGGAGGGAGCAAAAACGTGGACTGTCCGGGGTTCCCCGTGGACTGGGTTGGGAAACATTGCTCTAAGGTCAGCAGCCAAGCACTGCTTAGCGTCTCTGCCCCACTGGGTACATCTGGAGAGAGTCGTAGGGGGTGTCCTTGGTGGCTGAACTCAGATCCTGGAAGGTTGAGAGTTAAAACAACAATCACTCTTGTATTTACCTTAACTGCTTTTGCATGATTGTATTTAAACTAGTGCTTTTCCTCCAGATGTGCTTCTTATGTATGTGTACATACAAAACTCACAGAAAGTCTTGGGACACTTGCCTTAATAAAAGGGACACTAAACACAAATGTTTGGTGTTTTATGTTACTGCAAAGGTAATTAAAAAGCACCAAATGAGACTGTTTGTCAATAAACCTTTTAACTCAGAACCACATTTTGAGTTTAAATTTATTACTTAAAATTACTGGATGATTGTAATGTGATACATATTTTTGGAAAGAAAAAATATATATCTATTTATTTATTTATAAAACCAGTACATTTCCAATATTTTTACTGAATTAAACAAGCGTCCCTTTCTGGGAGCAGTGTTCATCTGCAGGTGTATCGATAAATAGATTATGCTGTCACTTGTGATAATTGTGCTGTCTTAGTGAAAATATAGTTAGTGTATGTATGTGTGTATGTCTGTAGGTGGCTGCTCCATAAGCGACCACAAAGACTGAGGAAATAGCGGGTAGTCCTTCCTCACCTGATACACCATTTCGTTCTTGTTTCTGCGTCGCTGTGAGAGAAACGGCATTTATTATACTACACAAATTCTACCGCTTCATCTTCTATGAATCCCTGCCACTTTCACATGCTAAATCAGGGGTCACCAACATGGTGCCCCCAAGGACCACATGAATTGCCCGCAGACCTGTTCTAAAAATAACAGGTCACAACTCACCAGTGAGCAGTGTCTAAAATGAAATTTTATCCTCTTGCTATTCTTCATATAGGTTTAATACATTTGCATTTATATAGATTTGAAAGTGACAATATCTAAAAAAACACATTTTAAACATGTGTATCAAACTGGTAGCCCTTCGTATGGCTCAGTACCCATGAAGTAGCTCTCAGTTTAAAAAAGGTTAGTGACCCCTGTGCTAAACAGTATTACAGAGAGACAGGGATCCCAAGCGTCAGCGTTGCTAAGCCGTACCTCATTCTTCGCAGGTATTTCCCGGTATGTGTCCCCTGCGCCTGGTTTCAGTGGCTGCAATTCGAAATAATGTCAAAAATCTCCCTCAGTACAGCTGGGTACAGTACAGTAACTTAAAATTTCAACTTGCATGGATGTGATAATCAATTCAACATGCCTGGAATACTAGACATTTAAGTATAGAAATTGTGTACAATATTTATTATAAAATGATATATATATATATATATATATATATATATATATATATATATTTGTGTGTGTGTCTATATATATTAGGGCTGTCAATAGATTAAAATATTTAATCATGATTAATCGCACAATTCATGATTCGCAAATTAAATCATGAATTTATTCAACATTTACCATTAAGGGATTTTTAGGTGTTTTTCAAATTTTATCAGTATTAGAGTTGGCAAGGCTTTATGCAAATGTATGCATTAATTTTTGGAAATCAATTACCAAAAATAAACACCAACAAAGATAGTTCAAAGGTCATCAGAAACCCTTTATCACTTAAGAAAAACTCTATGGCGTTAAATTAGTGCCAAAACTCGCGCGTATGCGTTCGCGAGCAGAAAATCCATGCTATCTACGCGCTCTCGTTTGCACATCGCTCGCTCGCTCGGCTTTAAGTTAGTGCCAAAAGTCGAACCACGCGCGCGTGTGCGCTCGCGAGCTGAAAATCCATCTTCTCTACGCGCTCGCCTTCGCTGGACCCTATCTACGCGCTCGAGTCTGCACCACACTCGCTGGCTGGACAAGATGAATTTTGACAATTTGGAGGCGGGAACAGTGGCTAATATCTCCGCTCCTTTGATTGTTTTTTTAAAATATTGACTACGATTGGCTGTTTGCTTTGGTAGAAGATGAAGATTAAAAAAAAAACTCAAGTCCAACAACAGATCGGCACCTTGACCTGCTAAATATTACATATTACTTAGTCATATAGCTAAGCATAGATCAGAGGTCGGCAACCGTTTCAAAGCAAAAAGCCATTTTATCCTAAATGTCTGACCCAAGATTTACAATGAGCCGCAATGGGTAGATCGAGAAGGGGGTTTGAGATACGATGTCTCATTTGAGATACGGGTTCTCAGGTGTAAATCACTCGGACGCGTAACAGCGCAAAGGTGACTAATATCACAATATTGTTCAGTTCTGTAGCGATGGTCTTCACCTTCACCCAAGTTCATTTGTCTGCCCTTCACTCTCCACTTCACTACTTTTAACTAACCGAGCGGTGCAAAATGTCCTCACCACTCCAAACTCAGCTAGCTATAATATGTAAATCGGAAAAACATAATAATTTTACGAAGATCTGGGAAGGCGTGGTGACGATTTACTACGAAAAGTATATGAAAGAATTAGGAATCCCAATAAACTGAATAAGCCTACATCCAATCTCGGACACTGAAGAAAACTCCGGAAAGCATATATACCATTTAACCAGAGACATACTCTCGATCGTAGAGAATGACTTTAAGGAAGATGTAAATTATGCAGTTAAGACATCACTAAACCGCGTGATGGACTGCCTCATTCACATACATCTAAAGAAATACCTAAATGAAAAATAATATTAACCCATAAATAAATTATTTATAGCCTATTTAAATAAGATATCTGACAGTCTTGAAGCTGAACCTGCCATTCAAAATAGATTTTCCGTTGTTCATTATCTTTCCCGAGCTACCATCCGACTATAATGAATTCCCTTTGACAGCCCTAATATATATATTTAAATTGTGCATGTGAGTAATAACATTGATCTTACCGTGTAGACCTCATCATTTGGTCTGTGGGCCTGAAACAGTGCAGATGGGGATCATATTTGTGTTCATACTCAGACTTCAAGAGTAATGCTTTACGAATTCAGTTTATATCCAAACAGGCTACATGAGCCACATGGCAAATGAGATACCTACTGCAGCACCGGCTTACATCCATTTTATGAATGGCTGCCCTCTGCTGGAGCCTGTAGAGTCCCGAGCACTATGGTCACTCACCCGTGTTCTACTCCCGCTCTCTATGTCTCTGTTCAGCCAGTCATATTGTTCACCAGATGTCATCAGTTCCTGAGAAAATGTAGGGGGTGCTCACTGAAGGGTGTTATTCTTCTGTTGTGCCCCTAGGTGGCAGCAGCTTTAAAAAGTATTACTACTGTTACGACCGTCAGCAAGACAAAGACTAGCGTGAAGCTACTGAGTATCTGCCTAGCAAAGGAAAAAGTGGCACGCTGGTGAAAAGAGGCCGCTGTGAGCTACAGAGGAGCCCCCAGGGAAAGGTGTTTGGGGGAGTTGGAGAGACTTACAGAATAAGTAGAGTTATTCTCCAGCTTGGAGTTGGGTGTGCCGAGCTAGAGATAAAGACAACCATTGATTACAACTATATATATTAATTACAGACATGCATAAATTGCTTCCACATATTAATCATGAGCATTTTATTTACAACGCAGTCACATATAGGTGTTGGTTCCGGGATATAAGTATTAATTGCAAATGTGCCGATCAAATTCACTCATAGTCGTTAATTTGCAGACAGGCAAAATTACTGGACATATCAATCTCACCTTTGCTTGGAAAAATAACGCAGTGATGATGATGCTATACACCAACAGAATACCATCCAAGATGTAACAGAATAGGGGGTCGTCCACCTGCAATGCTTCTGCAACCGAAATAAACATGAGGCTCAGTATCGAAGGCAAGAAAGATCGCTGGGAGCAAACGGGAGACAATGTCACAATACTTCAGTACACAATTCATACCACACACTCTGTAGATGGACACACCACATGTATATATTCACTTAGCAGATGCTTACAAGTCATTAAAAATGTTAAACGCATTTAGAGAACAGACAAAGGCTTTGGTGAATCCAGTAAGATACGTGCTACTATTCAGAATGTATAACTAATGTATAGCAAAAAAAAGAGCCTCCCAATGAAGTCTGCAGCTAATGTGTATTGGAACATGCTACAAGTGTTGGTCTTCTGCAAGTCAGTGGGGGAAAAATGTTAACATATAAAAACAAAGGGTTAAGTAGTAAAGTGTGTCCACAAGGAATATCATGTCACAAAACCTAATGTTTGCTTCTGCTTTGAAATGTGGAGAGATTCTGTAACTGCTGACATGCTGGCTGGAGACCTTCCGCTATAATGCCTGAGCTCAGTCAGAGTCTCGCCGGCTGACAGGAAATCAGATGCTCAGGCATGACACTCATGCACCACAGAACCAAACCGCCCCAATCTTCTGCTTCACCCGTCGGAACAGGAGCACAAGCAACAAGTAAAGGATTAGCACAGCCTGAGATCGTAAGGTGGAGTAAGAGAGACAGAGAGAATGCAGGTATATTGCAAGATAAGCTGTTTAGAGGCTGTGAGAATAACAGCAGCTGCACACAGTTCCCTCACACCTCAGCATGTCATTGTCACTCGTTGTGTTGAGCTTGGTGGTTTTCCTCTGCCGTTGAGTTATCTAAGCCTGGCTCAGTCAGCGGCTGCTTGACAAAGAAGAGGTGGGGCTAAGAGGCTCAGAAGTCAACATCTTCTATCTCAAGCCACCCACCCCGGGCTCCCCAGCACTCGGTAACAAAAACACAAGCCACAGTCTTTCATATTTTCCACCTTTTCTATACAGCCGTGTCTCATGAAGTCGTATCACATTAAGCAGTGGGTTTTCATAAGTATTCCTCAAGTATATGTGTGTGTGTTTGAGGTTTTTGACCTTGTAAGAGATCTTATTATTCTCACCAGACTCGTAAATTGACAATACAGAAGACAAAGATGTTTCTGACCTTTTTTAATTGCTTAAATATTATATAGGACAAGAGGGTATAGAAGATGGATGGATGGATGGATTATAAGATGTTGACTTTAAAGTTTAAAGGGCCAATAGTTTGAGTGGATATTCATAAAAGCCATAATCTGTGCATCTATGGCAGGGGTCTCCAACCTTCTTTTCAGTGGGGGCGGAATTATGACTACATCACCCCGGGGTGACGATGGTCAAATTAATTACCCCTTTATGTGCAGTCAAACCCAGAGGAAAATGTTACTATATGAAAGTTTGGAAAGACTCATTTTAATTTCTATATTGTCAGATATGTTTCTTCTATACTTCACTAGGAGAAATTAAATAGACAAAGGTGAACAGAAGCACAGGAGTCATTTTTGAAGTGAACAAAAGATATCTTGCCAAACTCTTGTTAAGGAGCAATACTAGAGCTAGTATAGAGCAATATGTAAGTCTCAAGACACTTTTACAAATGCTGAAATATTCACTCATCTTCTAGCTGCTTGTCCTTTACAGGGATGCTGGGTTCCAGAGCTTATTCTGGAAACAATGGGACACTAGGCAGGGAATAAGTCAGGAAAAGACACCAACCCATCACATGACAACAAAACAATTTGGTAACTCATGCTTACCGTAGCATGTGGCAGGAATCCCCACAACAACAGAGAGAAAACACCTGAGCTGTACACATATAGTACCAGGGGGGACTCGAACCCAGCACACCCTTCCCACACCACCATATCCGTACATGACATAGGGTCCAAGTACTTCGGCAGCTATGGCCTTCGATTTGAGGGTGAAGCAAAAATAAAACAACTAAAAAAAGATAAACTTTACTACTACTGTATGTAATTGTATTACTTTAGATATTTATGTAATGCGTCATTAATGTTATTGCTGGAGAACATACAGTAGTTGAAACAGTACTTGAAGTAACTGATTCAGTTACTGAAATATTTAAAGCACAAATGTTAATTTTTGCTGCACAAACCAGCAAAAACGAACAGAAGTTTGAATACTGATTATCACTTATCAGCAACCCCATGCACTTATTTGTAAGTTGAGTTCATAAAGAGAGCTCTCTACTTTCTCCACTGTAGATGAAAATGAGATGCAAGGAGAACTATTGTAAAGCTTGAGGTCTCTTTTGAAACTTTCGGGGGGGCTGATACTATGGTGGCGGAATGCGTGGAGCTCCATCATGCCGCCCATTTAGTGTTGGTGAACTCAGATGGAACTCAGGCCCACCGATTCAGCATTCACAGCGAGTGATACAGCACAATAAAATGACTGTGCCTGACAAGTATGCGTGTGCGTGGTTCGATCAATCGGAGGAAAATCGCTGTTGAGGAGCAAATAGATTCTTTCTCTTTGTTCAGTTGGTCTTACCACTGCCACAGATCATTTAAAAAATGATTTTAAAAATGATGCTGTTGAGTCTATAGTGTGACTTATCTCCAAGTGTTATGGGACAGGCCAGCCTGATTTTCTGCTAGCCCAACCACGCTATGATTTCTGACTCTACCATTGGGCTGGTAAGTGATTTTGTGTCTCTTCGCTCTGGAGAAAAGAATGTAAGACAGGAGACAGAAGCTGTAGTTTCATTTTGGTTTCACACATATCTTATAGTTGGGGTGAAAATGATGATGAAAAAGAGAAATAAATTAAAGAGTTTTGTGCACATCTATATGAGACAAACAAAATTAAAGAGGCCCGATTTCTCATAAGTGCTACGCAGGCTATTCATTGGCTCCTTGTCCCTCCCTGGGGCAGTGACATGTTCATGACCACTGATCTACAACCTCGTTCCCAAAAAAGTTATATAAACATATTTAACTGAAAATAGAACAAAGACAAGATATCAAATGTAATTTGAAGTTGTATTGTTTTATGACAAATAGATGCTCAATTTGAATTTGATGCCAGCAACTTTTTTAAAAAAGTTGGGACGGGGCAACATCAGATTAAAATATTCAGAGAATCCAGAGAGATCTCTGTACCCAAGGGATAAGACCTGAAACCAATATTGGATGGCCGTGATCTTTGGGTCCTCAGGCAGCACTGCATGGGCTCATGAACCCATCCTTTACTGCATCAACAAATACAGGATGAAACTCTACCATGCAAAGAAGAAACTGTATCTAGACATGATCCAGAAACACCACCAACTTCTCAGGGCCTGAGCTCAGCTCATTTAAGATGGACTGAGGCAAAATGGAAAACTGTCCTGCAGTCTTCTGAATCCAAATTTCAAATTCTTTTTGGAAATGATGGATGCTGTGTCCTCCGGGCTAAAGAACAGAGGGACCATCCAGCTCAATGTTCAATGCGGACAGTTCAAAAGCCAGCATCCGTGATGGTATGGGGGTGCATTAGTGCCCGTGGCTTGGGTAGCTTGCACATCTGGGAAGGCGCCATTAAAGCTGAATGATATATAGAGGTTTTGGAGCAACACATGCTGCCATCTAGATAATATCTTTTTCAGAGGAGGTCATGTATGTCTCAGCAAGACAATGACAAACCACATTCTGCTCATATTACAACAGCATGGCTCTGTAGTGGAAGAGTCCAGGTGCTAGACTGGACACACCATGAAACAAACAGTACGACACAGGAGACCCAAACTGTTGAGCAGCTGAAATCCTATATCGTGCAAGAAAGGGACAATATTGCACTTTCAAATCTCCAGCAACTGATCTCCTCAGCTCCCAAACATTTACAGAGTGTTGTTAAAGGAAGAGTTGATGCAACACAGCAAAGTGCCCCTGTCCCAACTTTTTTGAAATGTGTTGCTGGCATCAAATTCAAATTGAGTATACATTTCTCATAAAGCAATAAAATTTCTCAATTTTAACATTTGAGGTGTTGTCTTTCTTCTATTTTCAATTACATATGGGTTTATATAATTATGTAAATCATTGCATTCTGTTTTTATTTACATTTTATACTGTGTCCCAACTTTTTTGGAAACAGGGTTGTATTGTATTTTATGTTTTATTTAAGGGAAACCCAAAATGGACTGTTTCAGTCTAGAGAGTTATGAGTGTGTCGTAAATTCTGCACTCTGCTTAAAATAACACGGATTGGGCCACTTGATAAGATGCTTTCAAAGCCCAAGCAGGTGTCTGTGCAAAGCATTTCATCGAGCCTTTCTGCGCCTCAAACTCATGTGATTTGTTATGAACAAAATCTTCTGATTTTCCAACTAGATTTTCCTGTTTTGTCAATGTCTTTTTAATTACATTGGTTACAAGATGTTATTAGAAACTGTAAATGCAGAAACCACACAAAGGGCTGTACCTCTCCATGGAGAATGGCTGAAGCAAAATCATATTTGCACCCCGTCATCTTCTGTTTGTGCTCGTTTTAGGTATTACTTTGCCATCACATTTTCACCAGTACTAATAGCTGTACATTTGTCCATGTTTACTCCAAGTATGCAAGCATTTACCCATTGTAAACTTTTGTGATGTCACCAACCATAACAGTCTGATGTATTCAATATATGGTACCTGTCTATTTTACGCATTTTTATTTGTCAGCGTCTTATAAAGTGTACAGGCATATTATGTGTTCACACTGTTTTTGATATTTCTAAAGGTTGCAATTTCGAAATAGATCTGCCACTACCTCAACACCCCGCACAATATTCTGTTTTTTTCCATTACCTGCACCCCCACTCCAGCATTGTTGTTCTTCTTATTGTTACTGGTGTTGCTGCTGTTTATTGCAGTGTCAAACACGTTCGCCCTCCAGATTATCAACATTGAAAAATTGGCTTTCACTGTAAATAAGGTTGGAGATCACTGCCCTCCATACCTGCTGTTTCTCAGTTGTGTGCATATATTGACTGAGTTGTGTTTAGGGATTTGGCAGGTTTACCTAGATTGATTATTATATATTCAGATTTAATTATTTAGTAATGCATACCACACACAATAAAGAATAACATGTATGTTATGCATGGTGATTAAAAAAATTAATAAGGAGTGCATTCCTATTTCAAATTGTATAATAAAATAGAGTAAAATACACAGAAATGTGCAAGGATATATTATTTGTATCCGAAATAGGATATCAATTTATATTGGACATATTGTAAACATAATCTGAATTCATTATGAATATATACTGAATCTGTTCTAAACATACAAACCGAAAAACAACTGTGTTTAGGAAAAACAGAATAAGGCCCATATTTCGTTTCATTCCCTCCCACGGTTATTTTTCTGTTTTAAAAAAACCTTTGTAATTCATGGAAATGACTGCTGTTTGCTTGCCAGCTAAGTCATTCTTTTTCCATCACTGGTTAGACAGGCAACCTCATGAGTATAAGCGTATTAGTGCGTGTGCATGCGTGTAAGTGCATGTGCATGCGTGTTGATATGGAGCGGAGGTCACTGGAGGGTACCAGTGTTGGTCAGAGGTCATAGGGGGTTTCTGTGGTCATGGCACCGAAGACATTTTTAGCCATGACCCAGTCTGTCTTTTATCTTGTATAAAAAAAAAAAAAAATAGCATCCTGTAGGACAGTAGGCAGCGGAAGCCTTCACCAACACAGCCGGCATTCTTGTACGCAAGGGGTTAGAGAAACAATTAAGTAAATAAGTAGCTTCAGTCTGGTTTGCCATCCAATGCCAACTTTGGCCAACGCCCTGATCCCAGTTCAGTGAAGTGAGACAGGGCGGCATGACCTCTTGGTGATCTGATGGCCAATTTCAGGACACACTACAATTCTCATATCTAGACGCCATTATTCCATATATCTATCCGCACCTCGATGGAGCACACAGTAAGCAAGCAGCTCGCCCAGGGCTGAGGTGGGAGAATCCGACTTACCCGCACATGGAGCTTCCCGCAGCAGCACCAGCAGCAGCACAGCGGTCCGCTGGACATCCATAGTCCTCGTTGTCCTGCTCAGTTCACAGCTCACACTACACGGCTTCAAGTGACTTTGTCTTTTGAGTCACGTAACCACACGCATTCAGCAACAGCGACACAGAAAAATGGCTCCTTTGCATGGCTCCACCTGGCGATGCTGATGACGTTCGCCGTTCAATATGGCCACCCGAGGCGGCCCACATCCTGCAAACTGGCCCAGTTTAGGATGCAGCTGGTTCAGTAGGTGTGAGCAGGTGTTTGTGAATGTAGGATGGGTTGCTAAGGCATTGATGACAATGAACAACTCCGCTCTTATGGTAAATGGACTGCATTTACTGTATATAGCGCTTTTCTACTCCTATGAGTACTCAAAGTGCTTTACAATTTATGCCTCACATTCACCCATGCATACCACACATTCATACACCAGTGGTGGAGGCTGCCATGCAAGGCACCAACCTGCACACCGGGAGCGATTTGGGGTTTAGTGTCTTGCTCAAGGACACTTTGATGGGGTCAGGAGGAACTAGGGCTCAAACCTGCAACCTTCCAGGTGCCGAACGATAGCATTAGCTCCTGTGCCACCATCTTCCCCTTATAAATCATTTAAAATTTTATTGGTTTAACTAATGCCGTGAACCCATTTTGGCCACCGTATAAGTGTGTATAAAATCAAGTAAAACTTTCAAAATTTTCTTGAAAATAATTTAACTCAGCAAGATAAAATGTGATTTTTCATACATAAGTCTATAGTGAATTGGCACAGCTTGTCCTGTGATAGGTTGCAGTGAGCCTGGAGTCTGCAGCAGAAAGCGCAGGCATGCGATGCGAGACGCAGTGGGTAGGACTTCATTTCATCATGCTGCCCAGGCAGAACTCAAACCCACAGGATTTGTGAGGCTGCAGTGTGGCCTTCTTCTACCTTCATTTCTGGTTCATATAATGACCGACTTTGTAACTAACTTCCAGTAAATGAACTGGTGTGTTCCAATAGCTCAACAAGTATGGCAGTGTGCTAACAATGCAAGTGTTGTGGGTTTGAATCCCAAGAAACATGCATAAACTGTAATGCATTGTTCCACTGTAAGTTGCTCTGAATAAAAGTGTCAAATAAATTACTTAAAAAATAGTGTATTATTGTATCGTGTCAGTACAGGGAACAGAAACGGCTGACCCAGTTTAACCCAGGTGGCAGACCCAGCTATTGCCTTTCGCTTTCATATGGGAACAAATGTACCCACAGTGTGTCAGTGGGATGCCAGACTGAAATGTGTCAAAGTCACTGCTGGACAGTGGGAACACACACAGCTGCTGGGTGACAAGCTGCCATGTGTGCTGCTCATTATACTGGGGGGGGGGGGTCATTTTTACACAACACTTTTCTTTTGTAGAGGTCCCACAGTATTTATCATAGGGCTTCATTTAGCAGCATTTTCATGTTTCGGAAATTTACTCGGTGTTTGCAGAATCTTTATTCAGCTGTCAAAGGAAATGTATCTGAAATCATGTCATGTACAATGACAACAAATAACTGCATCTTTCACCAATCAAGAGCAAACCAAACTAAATGTCTATGGTTTAAATAAGACAGGCTCCACCAAAAAGCTCTGTAACGATGTTCTAATCATTTTCACCTGGTTTGGTGCACCCAAATCTAATTCTAGGTATTTTAAACAGTAATGAATGTGAGTGTCCTAACATTTTTCTTAGTGGAAATTAGCATATTAGTTAATTTAGTTTCATAAATAAGTTAATTTGTTTTTTGTTTTTGCATAGATGATGCAGTTACATCGCCTTTATCTACAGATATAATTTGAAAGAAGATGTAATACTGATATGTTGATATTTCTTAATAAAGAACTAAATACTTAATGGGGTATCCTAATTTTTTCACATGACTGTATGTATTTGTACAGTTTTCTGGAGGAATTCTGATTAAGTAGCTCACTCAATACACGCATACTGTGGTCCATTCCCTCCCACGATTATAATTCTGGTCTAAAATAACATATCCAATTCGTGGAAATTACTGCTATTTAATTGACGTAATTTACGCTAGCTAAGTCATTCTTTTTCCATCACTGGTTAGACAGTCAGCATAAGCTTGTTAGTCGGGTTACAGAAGGGTTTGATTCTATGACTCATTTATGGGAGCCCTAAAGCACTATACTGCTATCTGCTGGTTTTATGAATGCAGGTGCTAGAAAACTGATTCATGGAAGAGACTTTAGCTCATTTGACAATAAGAGCTTTAATACACCATGCCAACACACCCAAGCAAGTTTAACAGTTTTATCAATTTGTAAGCCGTAAATGAAGTGTGTTTTTAAAGTCAAGTTATTTGTATGACCTCTAGGTTTTATTGCTTTTGAATCCCTTGGATCTAACATGAACTAACAACCTTCTACAATAGAGAATTAAAAATTATAGCATTATTATTTAATTTTTTATCTTCATTATATTTGAAAGGGTAAAATATGATCTGTGATAGGTTGGAGCCCTGGAGCCCTGTGCTGGGTTATTCCCTCCCTTTTTCCCATGGTCTCTGGGATAGACTCCAGACCTCCATAGGACAAGCGGGGACAGAAGATGGAAAATGGGTATAGAAAATGCTGGATGGATGGAAAATATAATCTGATATTTGAAGTGTTTTCTGTTTCAGGCCCATTATACTGACTTGTCAGTGGTAGCCTGTCAAACCCCTAGTGACCATTAGGAGGTGCTCATGTAGCAGGCAGCTACATCAAACCCATGTGCAGCACTACATTACACATTCCGATCACACTCCTGGAAAATAAGTGTTTGAATCACAATTTTTAGTGGAAATTTAATACTACAAGTCAACCATCTTACTCTGTGAGAAGTTACGTTCTGTTCAGGCATCTATGGAGCTCTTAAGTAGACATTGTTTACAAGTGTATGGCTGTAAATGAATCCTCAGAGATGACCTTCTAACCCTTACAAAGTAGTCCAGCACCCACCCCTGTGTGATGTTCATAAACTGTAATCAATCAGCAACTTGGAATCGGCCTTTTTGGAGTGTTACGCAAATAGATGGGTAAGAATCATCACCAGCCATTCATAAAGGTAAGGATTTTTATTTTGAGTGGCTAGATAATGTTAGCTTATTATTCAAATCATTTCTTTCACTCATCCATCCACCCATAGCTTACCCAGTACAGGGTCACTGGAAGCTCATCCAAGGAGATACAGAGCAAGGAAAGTCCAAGAGGGGATAGCAGTCCATCTGAGGGTGCACACTCACACATATATGTAGTACCGTGAGGTGCCAATTGGCATAGCCAAACTTTTGGACTGTGGGAGGAAACAAAATGGGCAGAACATGCAGCCACCAAGTATTAACACACACACACAGTGGGACCCAGGCGGTTCAAGGCAGCAGTGATACCCACAGAGCTTCCGGATCCCTCTTTGGGATCATTTCAGACAGTTAAAGGGCCACTCATAGGCCTTCAGCAGCAAGACTTCATTATTTTTCTAGCTCAGTTTAAAGAAAAGGGAAGTGTAGGCCTGGTGTACTGACCAGGAAAACTTTTAAAAATTAGTCCTTTCCAGCTGCCAAATTCAGCTGGAATGAAACCCTGCTTGTGAGCTAAAATGAAGATCCTACTGCAAGCCTTAGTGTTAAGAAACAAGACTGCGTTAAAAGTGCACTATTTTTTCAGTGAAATACCTGAGTATCTCTTATTGTTATTTGTGAAATACTTGAGTATCTCTTAACCTTATTTGCTGACAGAGTGCTGAAACAATCAAGAAAAATGCAGGGATGCTTGTTAATGTTAATTAAGCAACAAAGTAAACTCAGCTGAAGGTCATTGTGGTAATCATTGGTTAACCTTAACTTCTGGCTAACCGGGTAGTTGCAGTTAATCATTCAGGTTGTAGAGACTCTTATAGTGTATATGAGCAACTTCAGCACAACTTTGAGCTGCTGTGTCTGTCTTCTTGGCTTTGGAGTGTAGTCATTGGAATATAGAAGGTGAGCTTGCTGTTATGATCCCTCTTGCTGATAATTTAATGTGTTTTTTTTTTTTTTTTTTGTCTTTCTTCACCCATGAATTGTATCCTTTGCCTCCCCCCAGGGCCCTGAAGGATGTCTGGTCGTGGTAAGAAGGCTGTTGCCAAAGCAAAGAGCTCCATGACCCGTTCGGCACGGGCCGGGCTGCAGTTCCCCGTGGGCCGCGTTGCCCGTCTGCTGCGAAAGGGAAACTATGCAGCCCGCATTGGCACAGGTGCTGCGGTTTACTTGACTGCCATCCTGGAGTACCTGTGTGCTGAGGTCCTGGAGCTGGCCGGCAATGCCTCACGGGACAACAAGAAGCTGAGAATCACTCCACGACACATCCAACTGGCCGTGCGTAACGACGAGGAGCTCAACGCCCTGCTGGGTAGTGTCACCATTTCGGAGGGGGGTGTCCTGCCCAATATTCAAGCCCAGCTTCTGCCCAAGAAGACTGCCAAAGGCCTGAAGGCCTCCTTCCATGATGAAGGCAAAGATGTGCAGTCACAGGAGTTCTGATATGGATGTCTTATAGTTTTAAGGAAATATTAAAGTGAATTGTTTTTTAAATTCCTGCTTTTGTCTACAGCTGTGTGGCTCCTGTGGGATATTTTGGGTCTGCTGGCCTAGACTGGGAGCTGTGTATGTGTAAGGTGATGCTGGTACCTACAATGTTGTGAGCTCATGGGTCCCTGGGGTGGGTCAACTCATGGGTCCACCAGGAAGTCAAAGGGTCTTTGAACTCTATTCTCTCGTGATCAGACTAAAATAACACCTGGAAAAGACTTCTGGAGGCACAAGCAACACTAATATCTGGTTTGTGCTAGGATTTGAGAGAATGAGGTTCTGAGGTGATCATATCTAGGCCTGTAAAGACCACATAGTCGTTTGGCTGACTGGGATATGTGTTTTTTTTAAGCTATATATATATTACATCTGATATAGAAATACCAAAGTAATATTTCAAATGTACTAAGTACTACCTTTAGTGTTTCATGTAGCACACCAGCATGGATTCAGGACCAGGGCGGTGTTCCACAAAGCAGAACTTCCCAGTCAGCTGGATAACAAGCCAAATGTGGAAACTGTCCAGTAGGAGGAGCAGTATGTTACATTCCTATTGGACAGTCCTTACATTACTTATCCAGCTGATCTGCTACATGGAATACCCCTCGGGATTGTAAACCCCTAAGCGAAGTGCTTTCTGGATAAAAGTTCATACTGTTATCAGTAGGGGGCAGACAAATACAGTGTAACAGATGTTCCACAAGATTCCAGCTCCAGTTTAGGTACCTTACAGACTTTCTGAATTTACAGCCATCTTTTAGAATTTTACCTTGTCAAACAATTTCTTTTAAATTACTAAAAATTACACCTACTTTTTAGTGGAAGACAGATGGATGGAATTTGAAAAGCAATTGAAACCAGTATTATCATATTAGCTCTGGTACTTGCTTGATGTTTTAAACAATGTCACCTCCGGGGGTAACTTTCCCCACTTGCACAGGTTGAACCTGTGTGCATGTGTATCTGTATGAAAAGCAAAACTGAAAACACACCAGGCATATGTGCAAGGGGATTTGTGCAAGGGGTGTTATTTTCCTAATATAGTCTATATATTTTAATTTTTCTATGACGCCTCACCCATGCATATTCTTCTTGCATCTGAAGAATTGTAAAACGATGAAGTTATAAAATTGCTGATCGATCCGCAGGTAAATAAGGATGGCTGGCTGGGGGCATCACAGAAAAGCTGGGCACCAGCCATTGGGGGAAGAAAGATAAGCGATGATTATCATAGAGTACAGAGGAGTAGACAGTGGCCAGCATGCTTGAGGGTAGACAGAAAGCAAGCGGCTATCATGCTCACTGTGGTTGTGTCCATGCCGAGCAAAGGCAGCTCCGTGTCTGACTCAGCAGAGTCTGTTATCTGTGTGTCCCAAATGTAGATGCACAGGGAGGGGCCCCTTCTTGACCTCCCCCTCCTGACTGCTTCATACAAGCATTGAAACAGATATGCTTAAATATAAATAAAGCATACTCTTATGTGTTCATGTTTGTTCAAGTGCAAAAAACATATATCTTTTGTGTTATTAAAAGTATAATTGTAAAAATGTGTTTTTGTTATAGCTTAATAAAAATAATTTTAAAAAAGTTTATCTGTGTTTCCTTATGGATAGTCTCTACATCTTTCCATTTATCCTCATCGACATTTAAGTCAGAATAAGAACATTCTCACAGAGGTACATTCAGCCTTATATTCTGCATGCCTCTTACAGGTACAATGGGCTAGCATTTAAACATACCAAATTTACCTCTTTCATCCTCCTTACCATCATCACATCTCAAATTGTCCTACAATTGTCTTTTTTCCAGAAAAAAATCACTCTTGAAAGATGGGTGTGACTATAGGTAGATCAAGAGGTCTACATTTTTTTTACTTATTGGTGTCCCACAAGGATCAGCGGTGGGTCCCCTTCAAAACATGCCCTCCTGGATGACAGACCTAAAGGCAACTGTGAGACTAAAGAATGTATAAAATGATGTTTAAGTTTATATGCTTCAAACATGAATATTAGAGATAGAGATCAATGGAGTGGTGAATAGACTGTTGCTATGAATATTGAAAAAAATCTATTCTTTTAAGTATCTGTTTCCTTATAATCCATGATTGTTAACATGAAATCTACGCTTTATCTTAACTTCATTTTGTGCAAAGTTGTTACCGTAACCTAATATAAAAGAGCAAGGTCATGAGAAATTCAAAATGTTACTCACATGTCTTTAATTTCCACAAGTCTTAAATTGGTGTTTATACTGCCATTCTATAGAGGATTAAGTATTATATTTCATATAGGTAGATTTTGTCCCCCAGGGCGGAGTCCCCACCACCCTCGTTAGATTGTGGGGCCCATACAAAGTGTTACCCCCTCTGAATCTGCCAGGGTATCCATGCAAGGGGACCTACTTCAAAATAAAACATGGAGCATTTCTTGATTAAAAAAAAACAGCATCACGTCGCATTCAATCTAAGCTGACACAAATAAACAAAGTGGGTGATAGTATTTACTACGAAGCTCCTAACAAACAATTATTTTGTATAAATACTTTTAACTAGACACATACTATATAAATAGCAGAACAACCATTTTACTTGAGAGAAGGTAACGGCTTTTTAATGTTAACTATGTCATATATTTAACTACAAGAATAATTTCCAGCTGACCCACCTCCACCCAATACGCACCTAACTTCAAGAGGACGAAACTTTCCACGGCACGTTAATGACAAGCAACGTTGTCCAATGAAACTAGTCGATGAAAGAAGTTCGACTGTGCGAACTAATCATTTCATTGTAGAGGCGTAGTCAATGCGGTGCTGCGTGATGACGTATAATCGTACGTGACCAATGGGCAAGCTTACTGTTAAGACACCGCCAAGATCAGTTTGTGAGCAGAGCCGACGTTGAGTGAGCAGTGTGCAATCTAGTGTCTTACATCCTGCTGGGAATTTACCACAGTAAACTAACGGATTGAAAGGAGCTGTTCGCAGACCCAGCGTATTTGGAACTTTAAATTAAAAGAACGGCTATGCATCGCCTACTTTGAATTAGTAAGTGCAGCGGAGTTTAACTTCCACGATTTCACTGCTCTCTCTACGCTGTGGTTAACAGCAGGCTTTCGTAGCTAACCATGTCATATCAGGAACTGCTAGTAGGCTAACTGGCTAACTATAACATATCAAGAACTGCGAGTAGGCTAACTGTATCATCAGGAACTGTTGGTGGGCTAACTATCATACCAGGAACTGCTAGTAAGCTACCTGGCTAACTATGTATTACAATGGTTAGATCTGTCAACATGTCAAAAACTCGTAGTTAACTGCACTGGAAAAGCTAACTGGGACGCGATCGGGTCGCATAGGTTTCTTATAGATGTCCATAACATTTAAAACAAATTATATAGATTCATAGAGTGACACTTATTTTGCGACTTCTTCGAGAGTCGCAAAATATTACGTATTAATATTCGTTGTTAGTTCTGACAGATGAATGCACATTGTTTGGCTTTTGAAAGTTAAAATAGCTGACATGACTAGGGGTATTCGTCCACCCTGTGTGTTTTCAGAGCTGGTGTGTAACTGTAAATGCATTACTAGCCGCATTGTTGCCGTGTAAAACGACAGACGCATCTAAAGCAGTTTGTTGTTTGACCAACATGCTGTATAAAAACAGTAACCGTGTGTTCTACTTTAAACTTGGGTGTTGTTATTTTTACAGCTAAAATACATCAGTTTAACTGGTGTAAGATTGACAACATAACTTAGTAGCTAGGTACGTAGTGATCTTGTGTGAATTAACTGTCTGAATCAACGCCTTTAACTGGCAATAATAACGAATTATGTGTTTTAGTTTGCATATAATAAATGATTTGAACACAAGATCGCATTATGTTTAGTTTTTGTTTCCTGATTGGTGTAGGGATTTAGACCTCCTCTTCCTCTGTCCACTCTGCCAACAAAAACAGTCTGGGCGCTTCAATTGACCGAAGTATACAGACGTAAGTGCAATGCGGCTTATCGTTTATTTAACTGTGGTTGTTAAGCGCGAAATGTGTCTAAACTTGCATAAATACTTTAATGCATCCAAGATAAGAGTAGACTCGACCGATTCTGTTTCTGCAATTTAACGGTTGTTCATTACAGCGCGAGCTTTAGTCATAGTTTGTCTCGCTCTTTACAGTATTATAAATACAGACACCTAGTAAAACAGCGTCGTGCGGTATAATCACTGGATAAACATACATTTATTTTATCTTAATTGCAGTCGGGGTTACACTGCATTCATTTAGCTAGCCAGCTAGGCCCAGGTTTCTTTGCCTTTTAAAAAGTTCTTGCAAACATATGATGATCCCTGCCATAATCAATTTTTAAATAATCAACTAATTAAACAAGCGAAAAGCCCATTTGTACAATAAGATACCTATGAGTAGAGCGTGTTCGTGGGAAACCGATGTTGCTTTGTGCAGGGTAATAAAAGATGCTGTGGTAGTCATACGGGCCTCGTTTTGAGCAAAATAACGTTAAGGCTGAGCATGATATTCTCCTCTGGAATCAACGGTCTCGCGCGTTAAATTCGGTTATATGAGAAAAGACTGATTTGTGCACTAAACACAGAGTTTAAGTAATTATTAAATTGAGGAAAATAACCCGCGGCCTAGTGCAGCGCTGCCCCTCGCGCGACTGACAGTGTCACGCAGCGCCGCGCGCCGGTACTGATGAATGGCGTGCGGGAGCACGGGACATCATGGCACGCGCTGTTTTCGCTGCGCGCGGAAGCCGTTTCCTGCTAGTTTTTGCAAAATTTTATCTACGATTAATGGGCAGTATCTGCGGAGTATGATTCCGCGTTTGCAGCCCGCGAGTGTGAAATCGGAGCAGTGTGCTGTGGGAACTCCGAAGAGTTTTCTCATCGACGACCATGCTTTTTAAAGTGACCCTCGTTCCGATTTTCTTTTGGGGTACAGACAGTAAAGAGTGGGTTACTGGCAATTTCATTGTTCACGAACTGATTGAAGTATTTGGGTAGGTATCGCCTTAAATAATCCATCATCATGACTGCGAAGGGTAGTTTCTGGATGTGCTTGCTTAAAGCAGTATTTGCATGCAGATATGATTCCTCGTCCACTCTGTGCCGTTTACATATTGTTTCTTTTTGTTTTAGGGGCACCTGCTGTTCAGCCTCCTGAGAAATTACCCGCATAGGAGGGCTTTGGCTCTCTCTTTTTCCCAGAACCTGGTAACATGGCAAAGGATGTGAGTATGGTCATGTGGCCCATCATTTATCTCTGATGGAGTAGGGGTACATATCAATTGTACAATTAGTGGCATTAGATATTATATTGTGTTTTTAGGTAAACAATTCAATTGGGATTGTTTCTTTGCTTTCGGTCTGTTTTGTTCATTATAATTTGTTTGCCCTGTTTACTCAACAGTTTTTTGATCTGAAGTGTTGTGTCGCAAAGTCAGTATATGTTTAATATGGGAGAGGTCAATTCAACAGGTTACCCTATTCAGGACAGTCCTCAGGCTCATCCTTTGAGTGGGTGTAGTCAGTCTTTCTGTATGAGCCAATGTGAGCAGGCCGTACCTGTTTATACCTGCAGCTCAGAAGATGGTTAACATATATGATCCAGAGAAATACTTGCTCTCTAGGTAGCCTATAACAATGTATATTATTTCATATGAAGATGCAATGTGAAATATAATTGTAAAGCTATTTAGTAACTTTAATATTGAAGCTGACAAGGCAAATTTATATTGTTCTGCCCTAAATATAATTAACAAAAAATTTAAAAACTAGTATTAAATGTATGTGTATCTAATAGGAATTAGTATTGTGGTATTACTGAAGCCGCTTTAGCCAGGCAGTTGTAATAATGGAGATTAAGTTGCCCAGGTGATGGTTGGTGTTGGTCACATACTTTATAATGATGCAAATCCAGTGGCAAATGAGGGGAATTTTTATATTGAAAGGATGAAGGTTTGGCAAATAATATCACAGAATGTTTAGGGATGTGGATGTTATAAGAGAATTTATACTTTATTAATCTGAAGGGTAATTAAAAAAAAAAAAAAAAAAGATATTGAAATGTATATTTGTATATTTTAAAACTCCCCATCCATTTACAGTGTTAAGTCTTTTAAAACGTAATTGTTAGGCTGTTTCTGTTCAATGTCTTAAGGTAATTTCAGTGAATAACTAAGAGAGTAAGATATTCACTGCGAAGTTATGGCTGATGGAACTGTGTACTATTGTAGAAAAATAAGAAGACGAGCGGCGAGTTTAAGTTCTTTGTCTGTCATCTCAGCCAAGGGTGCGGGCGCTTCAGACAGCCAGGCTGAATGCACACTGTCCAGGGGGAATCCTCCTTATCTTGTATGCTAGCTGCTTGTTTCATCCGCAACCTTGTTTCTACTCTTTGGTTATTTACTCATCAGGGATATCAACCTCTGCTTTCCATTTCTCAGTAGATATATTATCGCCTTTCTTACTTTTTCATTAATTCTGCACCTTCTTCTAGTTAGACCATGAGAGACTTCAAGGATACGATAACACATGTTTTACCAGTTAATGTCTTTTCTCACCTAACTAACTTCTTAAGATATGCATTTCATAATAAAAGTACTTGTACATATACATATGTGATGTATATTTAGGCTTCTGGCCCAGCTCTCCTAACTCAGAGGGAGTTCCCCCTCTATGGGTTAACTACTCGTATACTTTGACTTCGTTTCTGCACACACCGTATCCCACCATTCATATAATGATATGTTTGTAGCACAAGCATTGTATACATCTGACAACTTTAAGAAGATATAATTTTTCTTCCACATTACTCATGAATCATAATTTTATATTTAAAGGGTGTGCAAGCAATCTGTTTACTCATAGGGCTTCAATCTGTCCAGTGCTCTAGACTGACGTTTTTCACTAGTGACACAGGTGTTCCTTACTGAAAATATTAGGAGCACCAGCATGAAATGTAGGCATACCAATTCAGTTAACATGCACCACAACACATTCATATTTTTCCATCTTCTAAGAAAGAAGATCTCCAAATGCAGTAGTACATGTTGCTCTGCCTGTAAATGATTTTGCTTTGTCAACATTTGTTGATGCACATTTACCCTCACAGACTGAATGAACACTTAAGCATAAAAATAGGGGGGGGGGGAATTGTGTTATGTGCCAAGAGCTAAACAGAAATATCTATGAAAAATATGGATAGTGTCTAGCATTTGCTTTTCTGCCATGTTCTATTTAACAGTATCTGGCATTTCAGGTTATGTTGATGTTGAAATGATCAGACTTACTGTATTTACAAAAGCATCTACCCACTGAAACACTTTACGGCAGGGTTCCGGTTTGCAGATTTTTCTTCTCAAACGCATATTAATCCATTTACCAAGTTTAGTAGGCATGTTTGAGCAGAGACATCTGCAAACTGTGCTGGATTATGGCCCTCCAGGATGGGAATTGGGGAACCCTGACTTAGGGTTGTGTTTCCATTGAGCTAAGTGCGGTGATCTTTCTGTTTGATGGATTGGGGCGGTGTGACTCTGCTGGTGAATGCAGCCCTCCAGCTACTGCCTTATCCCCCCGGCCCCAACCATCTGATGACACGTTTAAACATCAGCATATACGGTTCACCTGTGCAACCCACACTTCCAGTCTCATCTCCTTAATTGAAACGCCTTTCTTCAGTTAGCCTTTGGAGCAGTCATTAACATAGAGGTTCATTTACTTTTTCTGGCCTGCATTATGAATTATTACTCAGTGTGCTCAGTAAAGACATCTAGTGGGCGCAAAAAATACAGCGAGTGGTTCATGAAGCAATGTTTTGTCCATCGCTACTGACCTGATGCCCCTTCCACAGCAGGCCGTGGCGTAGAAAAGCACACTGGCCACTATGGATAGCGCTAGGGCTGAACGATTTGGGGAAAATATCTAATCGTGATTTTTCTGACAGACATTGCGATTACGATTTGATTCGCGATATAATTTTTTATGTCAAGCTTCAGTTGAATATTCAGTGTGTAGTAAATTTAAAACTTATGATGCAGCATTACCACATGAGATACCATCAAAATATTAACTGGTCTATATTGAATGTAATAATGAACAAATACAGCAAAAATTAAAATAATAGCGATCTTGCAGGTAATGCTAATTACCCTCTTAATAACACTAGAACCGCCTTTCCCACGCCAGTGAACAAGCAAGAACTACTTCAGTGTATACAGCCGTTTTATTTGCGCTAATGTGTTATTAGTGTTAATAACAGCAGTGAATCTAACACTCAAAAAGCTGCAATTTTCATAACAGAGTGGCTTTTCTGTCCTGAAACTGTAAAGCTGGAAAATTTTCAAACGTAATTTTATAAAATGTCGAATAAATAGACATAGTTTATTGGTGGTCATGTTGGTCTACGTTTCCGCTTTTTAACAACTGTATAAGATTATTTTTTATACAAATCAATTCAGGGGAAACAAAAAATGTATGTGTTCAGGGTTGCAAACTCTCACGGGTTTGGCTAACACGCTTTCAGACTCTCATGCAAGACTCTTAGCTGCATCAAAAACGTTAGGGCAGTTTGCAAACCCTACAGACTATTTACATGGTAATAAAACTCTTACATACACGTAAATGTCTGTGCAGACTCGTCTCAAACAGAAAGCCTCACTCCAGGCAGCTGATCAAAGATTCGACTGAAGCGGCTTATCATTCCTTTGCCTTGTTGCTCTGACAAATATAAAACGGAGAAAACATTACATGCGTCACTTTTTCATATCTTTTTTAAATAATAAGACCATGCCCATACCCAACTGTAATAACGATTAAAGTGATCTGTTCTTTTAGTATTTGTGTTAAAGCGAGGCTTTCATTTTATTACTGTTGTGGTATTAAGATTCATTTCACAAGATTAATCTATGGAAATCAATGCTTAAATCAATGAGCACAAAAACATATGACATAAACACGACTGTATTATGGATTTTACAGCATTTCTGGGGGTCACAGACTCTGCTGCTGTGAGGATTACCGACCGTCTCATTGTTGTTTTGATGGGTTATATGCTAATGTGATTTCCCATTAACAAAAACAAAAGGTGTGATGCTGAACTATATCGCAGCTGGTGTTTAAAAGGAGATAGGATGATAGGACCTTTCTGAAACAATCTCGGACCATGAAATAGGAAGGCAAATCACTTGTAGCTCAGTAGCGGAATCAGTGTTTTTTCTGCACCGCGAATGCAACATTTTCTTCGGGTTTCACGTGTTTGTGGGCGTGTACTCGGTCGCCTCGGGCCTCTTCTGATTGGTGAGCATGACTGTCACATAAGGAGCACGGCGCTTGTGATTGGTGAGAACAACTGTCACATAGGGAGCATGGTATGTGTTTGGAAAACTATTCTTACAACAGTTTTAAACCCTGGGTCCGACGTGCTGTATAATGTATGTCCTAAATCGCAGCCTTTGCGATTTGCTAATCGCGTTGTTTCAAATCGCGATTTCGATTTGAAATCGATAAATCATTCAGCCCTAGATAGCGCATGCATATGTATTAATACTGCTCATTGAGATGCATCATGTTTGATAGTAGGTTGGACATCTTTGTCTTCAAAGTTTAGTTGAACTGAAATAAGCAGGTTAGACAGTTATCCAGCCAGAAGATAAAACTGAGAACTTCAACCCTGGTCCCTGTGGTCCTTCTCTAGGCTAAAGATCTGTCTGGTGGGGGCGTGTGCCTGTGCAGGTGTTTATCTTTCTCACAAATTCTTTTGATAATGAGGTATGTTTACGCATTTCATTTAATTCCCAGGCTGGTCTCATTGAAGCCAATGGAGAACTGAAGGTTTTCATTGACCAGAATCTGAGTCCAAGCAAAGGTGAGCATGCCCTTGCAGTCTTGCAGGAATTGTTTTCTGCTGCTTTTGAACTGTTGGTAGTTTCCCCTAGGTGGCACTGTTGCCTTCGTAAAGAGGTCAGCAGTACCTCTTTGCTCTCATGCTAGCCCTGCTTTCCTTTCACACTGACGAGCAGGATGTCAGCATTCATTTCCCCGAGTTCTTCTTTAACCACTTCCTGCCGCCTTTTAATGAAGAGCACCTGTCGGTAGATGGCTTGTAACGGTGGGTAGAGCATTATGTGTCTATGTGTGTGTAAGTGCTGGGTATCCATTGAGCATTTCATTGAGCATAGCGCACTGGCTGTATTCCTGAAAATGGTTGTGTATCTACTTATACTCCTTTGTGTACTGCAGGCAGCCCTGTTTGAATCCTGAAGACAAAATTTTGCATGAACACATCCGTGTGCCCAGTAGCTCAGAGCTGTAGATCAATGCAAATTTAATTTCTGTGTATTACTGAGTAGCCTGATTGCTGTTTTTACAGTAACGAAAGTTTGTGCTATAATAAGCTAGAATCAGTCTGCTAGCTTAACATGGAGATTGGTAGCTTCTCATTATCGAATTTGCTGTGCCAGGCTCTTGCTCCTGACTTGGTAAGTTGGTCTTTCTGACTGAAGGCTTATTTTTTCCCCCCTCCTCTCCCAGAAGCTAGAAGTACTGTGCTGTGTGAGGGACAGTAGTGTGAAAGTGTTTTTTTTTTTTAAACCTGACTGTCTGTGGATTGGGAATCTGACATGTGGCCTCATGCTGTTCTTTACCTCAGGGGTCTTGTCTCTGGTCACCGTCCATCCTGCTGTCACACTGGGCAAGCAGTTACTGCCCAAAACCCTGGGTCCTTCCAATGTCAACATAGCTCCTCACATGGTAGGTTATGGGCTGGGACAGACGCAGCATTTTGATGTCACGTATAGGTGTCAGTAACGTACGTTTGAAGGTGACTTTCACGGTGATTAAGTTGACGAGGTCCTGAGCGTTCTGTGCTAGCTTCACCTTCATTTGCTTTTTCTGTATAGCCTTCACTCTGCAACTTTTAAAGATGGATCATTGTCTTGTCTGCTGGAGTCTGACCGCTCTCTGCCCCGCAGGTGATCAGCACTCCCCAGCGGCCCAGCGGCTCCAGCACTGTCCTGGTGGGCAGCCCTCACACTCCCAGTGCCCAGTTCCTTCAGAACCAGCAGGCCGATACCTCACCCTGGTCCACTGGGTGAGGGACCTCTCATCAGTTAGATCGCTGTGCCCAGTTCACCACATGGGTCTCAGCTAACCTGGCACTAGATGACTGACCTGCTCAGCCTATAATCAGAATCAGAATCCTTGTTTTCAAAGTACCAAAAATACACAATTTTCTTTTGGTGCATCAGGTATACACTGAAACTTGCTGCTCTGGAGAAAATTGAGACCACTCTGTATTTATAAAAAAAAAAAAAAAAAAATCTGCATTTTTAAATCCTGGTTTAATCGTGGTTCTGCTGGCGTCCGGCCAAATGCTTCGTCTGTCATCTGAAGCCCTGGTGATTATCGCTCGATATGATATCGCCCAGCCCTACTTCCAAATATGTTTCAGGGTTGATTTGCAAATGTAGACAGGCATTTTCGCTCTTCCAGATTGTGTGGGTTTGTATCATGTTCTCCTGTGAAGGCTCATCCCTCTTTCTCGCAGAAAACGCAGTAAGAAGGGTGAAAAGAATGGCAAGGGCCTGCGGCACTTCTCCATGAAGGTCTGCGAGAAGGTGCAGAGGAAGGGCGTCACTACCTACAATGAAGTCGCTGACGAACTGGTGGCAGAGTTCAGCTCCGTTGACAACCACATTTCCCCCAATGACTCGGTGAGCTTCTCTCCCCTCAACGGCCCTCTCCTCACCCTCCGCTTTCACTAACTGCTCTTCCATGTATGTCAAGCATGTATATGACCAGAAGAACATTCGTCGACGTGTCTATGATGCCCTCAACGTACTGATGGCCATGAACATCATCTCAAAGGAGAAGAAGGAGATCAAATGGATTGGCCTCCCCACCAATTCAGCACAGGAGTGCCAAAACCTAGAGGTGGGTCTGTCTGGAGCAGCGTTCAGAACTTGAACAACGGACCCACTGGTCACGATTCTTTTACTCACGCACTGGTATCACCAGGCAGAGTCCAAAACCCCACCTGTGCTTTATGCCATGTGCTCTTTGAGTTGTAATGTTTTGCTAAATTTTAAAGAGCGTCATCTTTAAGTTGACTGGTTTTCCGTTTCAGCTGGAACGGCAACGGCGACTTGAAAGAATAAAGCAGAAACAGTCACAGCTGCAGGAGCTTATCTTACAGGTGAAATGTCCTCCTCCCGCGCTAACAGGTTCTCTATACTGTGACGTTTTCATATTGTAAATTTGCTGATATTAACTGATTTGCTGGTTGAACTTGAGTCAGTAAGTGCTAATATGATTCTCATTCCTGACTGCAGCAAATCGCTTTTAAGAACTTGGTGCAGCGGAATCGGCAGGCAGAGAACCAGTCTAACAGGCCCCCAGCTGCCAACTCTGTCATTCACCTGCCTTTCATCATTGTCAACACCAGCAAGAAGACAGTCATTGACTGTAGCATCTCCAATGACAAGTGAGAGCAGCTTCTGATTCTGGAATTTGTATGGCACACTTTGGTGAATGGAGTGCGGTGTCTGACCCGGCTCTTCTCCCTGCCCGCAGGTTTGAGTACCTTTTTAACTTTGACAACATGTTCGAGATCCACGACGACATCGAGGTTCTGAAACGGATGGGAATGGCCTGCGGGCTGGAGGCTGGGAAGTGTTCCGCTGAGGACCTGAAGAGGGCGCGCAGCTTGGTACCAAAGGCACTGGAACCTTATGTCACAGGTCAGTATCACAGCATGGCTGGGCTTCTGTGTGACAGGCAAGGAAACTTACCCGTTATTGTTGGAACTTCACCTTGTCTATCACTTGGATGTACTGAGATTCTGAATTGGCTCCTCAACAGTTTTTTAAGGGGGGCGGTATCAGGGATTATCCTCGTTGCATGGGTGATTCTGTAAAAATATATATTTACAATATACATTTATGTAACCACTATTTACCTACCCTGTTCTCATGTTTTTGATAACCCCTGTCTTTCTCTACAGAAATGGCACAGGGATCTATAAATAGCGTGTATAGCACTGGAGGCTCTTCTTCCAATGGGGGGCGCTACCACACTGGCAGGTAGGTACTGCGTCCCGCTGGGAATTGGCACCTTCCTCTCTGGCATGGTGGAGGTTTGTCTGGACGGCGTCTCTTTGCTCCTGCAGTGAGAGTGCCGACGGAACCGCCGCCTCCAGCTACAGCGGCTCCCACTACAGCGGCTCCCGCGTGGAGACGCCCGTGTCCTACATGGATGACGATGACGATGAAGACTATGACGACAACGATGATGAAGATTAGCCGCCACATGGTCACAGCTGTGCTGTGTCATTCTCCCACGCGCACACACCCAAAACATATTGTCACAAAAGTGCGTGCGTGTGCGTGCGCGTGCGTGTGTGTGTGCCTGTTGCACTGGAAACCAGATGCAGCCTTCAGAAACCCAGGTTCCTAAAACCCCACTGCATGCTTGGAGATGTGGTCTTTGACTATAGAAACCTATCAGTGCTTTGGGGTGGTCACTCTGTTAATAAATTTCTAGCTTTGCTTAGAGAATGGTGGCTGATGGGAAGTGTAGTCCATAGTTGGAGTTGGTGCTGTAATAACCCTCTGCCTTCCATCTGCACCACTGATGTCAGCTCTGGTCTGCTGACCTCCACCTCTTCTGAATGTTTGTGAATGAAAGAGTCCCTCCAGACTCCTCATGTTTGATAAAAGTAGTAAGATCTGTGTGAATAAATCTCTTCTTATTTTTATATGTTGTATTTCTTTGTGATTAATCTTTCACATGCCCCTGGGTCAGCACCTGTCTCTGACTGCCTGAGCTGCTGTTGTGTCCAGAATTTTTATATGACGATTTTATCGCTTTTGGAGTTTGAAATCTGCCCTGCAGGTTTTGCTTGGTTTCTACCTACCTTGCTGTTCGTGAGACTCATTGACAGGAACTTTGCCCGTGTGTAACTCACAGGTCTCTAGACTTACCTTAGTTTCCAAGTATAATATGGATTAAAAGTGGTTACATGGGAAAACCCTTCGTTAAACTACAAGACTTTAGTAGAATCACCTAAAATTTCTCAAAACAGGAAAAGTATTTTCCTGTTTCCTGAAGTTTTATTTCTCAGGTAGTTTTCTGTAATCTGAGGTGAAAGTTAACGTTTGTTAAAACTATATTTAACTTGGATTGGTTTTTCCCTTTATAAATCCTCCTGCTACCTTGTTTAAACAACGGTTACATTTGCCAGAGGAAATGTTGGACGTTGCTTGTTCCTGATTGGTCACCTTTAAGCTGAATCATTGTGTGAAAATAGTCTAAGATCGTTTTTTTTTTTATTATTACTAAGTGTCCTTGACCAAAGCTGTGCACATTACTCCAAGGGAGATGCTTAAGTGTTGAACCTGGTTCATACTCCACTTGTCTACATAATGTTGTGGTACGCAGTGTGCAGCCCTGATTTTGGGTGTAGTGGACTTGTTGCTTGTCAACTGCACACATGCATGTAATAGTCCACTGGTCTGGTGGAATATCATTGCTGAACTCATGTGACCGTCTGCATACTGCCCCAAAATGCTCCAAATGTATGCGAAATCTGCATGCTCGACTGCTTTATACGGCCACCACAAAACACCCTGTGTACCACTATACTCCAACCTTATTTACAGTGAGAGCTTCTCAAAGAACGTTATCTGTGGGGCTGCGTGGTTCTTACAAAATTTTATCAAGTAGGGGATGGGGGGGGGTGAGGTGTGGCAACAATGAAACTAGCTGACTGGACTGATTATCATTTGACATACATTCTGCAGCACTGTGACATTGTAAATGACACTTTGTGTCATTTACCAGCACAAAGTGACATTCCTCGTAGTGCCCTAATGTGCATAAGCAAAAAAAACAAAATCTACAATTTATCCTATTTCTAAAACGTGTTAAAGACACTCATGGGCTCCCTGCAAGCCACTAGTATTTTGCGACGCTTTTCGATTCCCAGCTGCTGCTTTTAATGACATGCGATGGCAGCTTGCTGGCTTGTGTGTGACGCCGGTGGGATGATGCACAGCTAATGTCTAAATATCCATTACTGACGCTCCGCCCACCAGAGCTTCCTGTGGCACTAAAATAGTGGATGTTTTAAGCTCTAATAGTATTCCATACATGGCTTCCTGTCTATGTGTGGGTGCTTTTTGCAGCTGTGCCTGAATGATAGTTATCACTAATCAGACAAGTTTTGATTTTTAGAATGGTTTATTACAATGTCGAATATCAGTTGCATCAACAGAAAACTAATGCAGACGTATCTATATTTACAGCTCCAAAGAAAATCAAGTTTAACTTTATGTCACCTTGAGATCAAAGATAACTTTGCCTTCGTTAGGGTCATGGATGTTTTCGTACGCGATGTTCTTGGCTACCACTCTGCACTGGACCTTAGCCTCCTGCTCCGCAGTCATATAGAATTTCACAGCTACCAAGGGATTGATATAGGTGGGCTGTGGGAAGTACAGGGATATATAGGATTCAAGATTCAAAAGTTACATTTCCCACATGCATCAATGTGGCAGTACACCAGCAATGAAATTAAATTGCCGCTACTCCAAACTCTGCAATAAAACATCAAAATTTAGAAATTATTTAAAAAGTTATAAGAAAATATTTGAGAAACACGTGCAGGTCGCAATCATTTTGATTGGTGGTGTTAATAATGCTAATGGCCTGGGCTGATCAGTAGCAATGGCTAATAGAAGCTTCATAAACCGATTGCTGTATTTTCTGATACCATTCAATGGTGCTCTCTATTCAAAAAAGGGCTTGATTTATGCCCCAAAGTAAACCAAGAGCACCATCTAGTGAGGCCAACAAAAAACAGAAAATGGTTCATGAAGCTTCATTTGGCCATCATGACTGATCAGACCAGGTATAACAGGTACATGTGAGTCACAACAGCTGTAATCATCTTGTTCCCACAGCTTCTTAGTGATAGTGTGTGAAGGTGCCGGCTGTGCATACCTGTGCTTTTTTGCCATAATAGGGGAAATATGCAAGATCCAAGGTGCCATTGCTGGGGAAATACTTGATGTCTTTCACATTGTCACTGCCGTGCTGTTAATTAACAATAAAAGGTTCTTGTTTAGGTCAGGATTTAGCTACATACAGTTACAGTTTCCATGCATGAAACGGTACCCGCGGTCATGGAAAACCTGGAAAAGTTTTGAAATTTTTAAATTATTTTTCCAGGCCCTGGATAAGTTTTGGAATTCTTGGATAGAGAGAAAAAGTTTTGGAAATTAGCCTTGTTCATTTTTGTTTCCCATTTCGGGGAAATGTATGAGCGGAAGTCAATAGTTAACTGCCTTATACAAATACTGTTCTATCTACTTTAGTTTTACAAACTTGTGGGTTTTGGAAAATTTTCTTATGGTACTGGAAAAGTCATGGAAATTTATTCTGCCAGAATTGGGGGAACCCTGATTAAAGTTTCAGTTATTGATTAAATAGCAGTAGCAATAACACTGTTAGGTTGCATTGTTAGCAAATTCACAAATTCGTAAGTACCCTTTCCAACATTTACAAATGTTTTATTTTTATAGCAGATAGACTGTTTATAGCAGTGAAAGTCTGATATAATAGTTGCTTCCATTCAAGACAGTTTCAAAATGGGTGTAGGAAAACCTCCTCTTCAGACTCATTGAGTAACTACAGTTGTGTTCCTACTGTATCCATGGGGTGGTACGCTGCCTGCAAGAATACCCACACTTTTTCTTTTCTGATAGAAAGGAAAGACCAGTGAATACCTGTACTCACCAATACTGTGCACTGCAAGTATGGTGCTATGTCAGGGCCATTATTGGGCAAGAAGTTTATGATCTGGTGAAAGAATACAGATGTGAGGTCATCAGAGCTGTCACACATCAACAGAATTATACTCAAGGGGAATAAGCTTGTTGTTCCTGGCTGCCGTTTACTCATGTACAGGAAATCGCAATACATGTAAACCTTGTGTAATGTATGCAGGCCAGATTCCCCAGTCTTGTGAATATGCTATTTATTTAGCGTTTTATCCATCTCACCGCACCCTGTTCATCTTGATGATCACGCAGGGTGTCCCATTTGAGTATCCAAAGGTGGGGTCGCTGATGCCTGAACAGTCACCCAACATGTTCTGTGTGAATGGACAGGCGAACTTGGTGTGTCCTGGTCCGCTGAAGTCATTCTGGATATAGTTTTTCCCCCAGTGGCATTCATGGGGGTTACTTTGGTTTTGTTTGTTTTCATTGTAGGCTGCAGATGGAGCAAGACAGTTAGGCCCAACCTGGGAAACCTCACATTACTGGGAAATTTACATTGCTAACATTTTCTGTATTGAATTGAAGTAAAGCATGCTGTGAAATGATCTGTGCTTACGATTCAGGAAGTTTTTAAGGCAGTTAGACATCTTAAGCCAGCTGCTTCTGTCTGATGTGTTGAAGGATATCTCCACATTGTCTTCTCCGTATGTGTCCGGCCACACCATCACTCCTAAACATGGAATTAGTGCCGGACAGTGAACCACTGCGAACAAACTAACTAACTTGTGTCTGCCAGGTAGCATTTTCATGACGAGCCGGAAGATTGACACACTTACCTGGTGATGTTAAACGATCTTGATAGTCAGGTGTATAGGGGCTGAGTGTGTACATCATTATGTAGATGGCCAGTGCAAAAAGGGAAGTCATGATTATGTAGAATGCCACATAGTACAGGCTAATGTACACTGTGGGAATGAGAGAGTAGAATAATTACCAGCCTTGACATCATCTGCTGATCTAGATAGGATCATGTTATTTCAGTGAATTTATCAGGAATTTTATATATCATGAGTGAATCTGTGATGGATGATTCGTTCACTTGAATGTCAAAAAGGTGTGAGGTGTCCTTGACCAGGCTCTTGAGAACTTGACAAAGCAACACCTCTCGGTTACACAAAAATGTTATCTTTGCTATCCAGTTCCTAATCTATCTACGGGCTGGAAACTCGCGCGGCACTGATAACGTTTCAATCGACAACCCAAGGACAGGCAATGTCAAGGTACAACAGAATGTGATGTTCTTAAGAAAAAGTGAAAGTTGTCGTCCTTTTACAAAATGCTACAGATCAGTAAGGCTACCCATAAACGTGAGAACATGAGGCATCTTCCACATACCCCATCTCTCTGGTGTCCTTCCCATGAAGGTCTTGTCATCGGAGTTCCACACGAAATGCCCGAAATCCCGACATCGCTCACCGCATGTCCTTTTCTCTCTCAGCGTTGCCATGGTGATTAGTTTAGTGCAACAGTATCTAAAATTTCTATAATGTTATTCACTGAATCTTTCCCCTTGTCTGTGTTTTTGCTCAGTCTATTATATACTCTGCGGTGGGTCTTTAACGCTCTTCTTTATGCACTCATGGATCTGAGTTTCCCCTGTATCTTCTGTCCTCTGTACGCTCTGACTCTTTCCTTTGTCCTGTACGAGTTGGTGCCCTTTTATATATTCCAGGGCCAACCACAGGAAGGGCTGCAGTGTTTACACGCCTCGCGTGACCGGAGCATGCCATCCCTCCCAATGATTTTTTTTTCTCTTTTCTGTATGATTTCATTACGGCTGTCATGCCTACACACATACTATTTAGATGAGCTTTACTGTCACGGCTCTCACATTTAAACTTTCCTTTTCCTTTCATTTCTTCTCTGTTTACAGGTGAGTATATGCTGTGAGATTGAGGTTGGAGCATCATCATGGAGTTTTGTTGAATTGATCACACTTCAGGAACGGCTGTGTGACAATCTAGGGGTCATCTGGAATCACAGCTTTTTCTTTTTTTAAGTATAGATTAATTAACCTTTGTTAGTGAAGACTAAATCTGCTTTAGCTAAAAAACACCTGCCACAGTAAGATCAACATCCAGTGTAAATGACTGAAATGTACCAAAGTTTAAAGAGTAGATCACCACAGAGCGTGCACTTGACAGAAGACAAGTGCATGGCAATAGGAAAGAATCTAATAAAGTTGCTTCATAATTGATGGAAAATGCCTACTGAAACAAATCTGTTACTAAGGTACTCATTTCTAACGTGGCAGTTAACCTAATCAAAATTTCAAATTTTAAAATCTTGGCAACCCATAGGCTCAAATTCTCAATTTCTCTGTCGCTCACCTTAGAGGTGTGAGACAACAGCACCACCCACGGTGCCAATCTCAGGGATCTTCTGAAATGATTTGTAATATACAGTAGCCCCCCCCCCCTCCGCCGTATCTGCAGGTGATACATTCTAAGACATACCTCGGCTGGCTGAAACCATGGATGATAGCGAACCACCTTTATATAGAGGTTGATTCATAAATTATGCACAGTAAGACATTACCAACATTAAATACAGTAATAATAAAATACATTACAGAACTGCACTCTCTCAGATGAAAGGGATTTTGACATCATAGCATAATTATGAAGAGATGGATAGCAATGAAAAATGTCATGTATCAAGGAATGACAGAGCAATGAAAATTGTGCTTTTTATTCATTTTTATAGCATACACTGCAATAACACAGCAATGATTGGGATCAGTGAGAACGCTAGACAGACTGGATGAGAGTTCTGCAGAGTAGCAGGCGTGGGTCTGGGGCCAAGGTGTACTGGGCGCAACTGGGGTGGCGGGTTTCACCATGTTACAGTCTGTACTCGTTTGGTGAGTGGTTCGAAACTTATGAACTGTTTATTTCTGGAATTTTCCAATTTTTTTGGGCCTTGGCAAACCACAGATAGCAGAAACTGTAGATACAGAAGTGGCACTGTAATTCACAAATAACCTAAATTATATATTTCTGTGAAGTCTGATTTTTGCTCAGTGTGGTTATAAAGGATCAGTATCGAACTATGGAATTTTGTTTTCTGTCTTCTGGCTCTTAATCACTATTCACTTACACGATTGTGAGCCTGAACTCTTGTAAGCCATTAAGTGGTGTCATTGGGGGGGCTGCCATTTTGAAGACTAATTAAAAATTATTTGAATTAAAAAACATACACATGGTAAACTCGGGGCCTAATCTCTGCTCTGATGTTTGCTCTCGGGAGTGCGTATGGCATACGTAAGCCTGATGTCTGAATATATTTGCCTTCAGACTAAATGGCTTAGGTTGCGATTCCCGTGTCGACGACTCTGGGGGCGGAGCTGCAGCCTAGCACAGCCATCAGTACAGGTCACACCCCCACCTTGCCTTGCTCTCTCTCTTTTTATCATGGTTATGTGTGGCCAACATTAACCTTGAGCAAGGGCTTGGTAGAGAAGCAGATAACATGCACATACTGTACTGCCTGAGGCCAGGGTGGCACTGGGCAAAGCTTAATGACTTTGTAGGGGTCTAATGATACTGGGGTGGATGCAAATACAAAAAAAATGGTAACCAATGTGTGTGAACCTGTGTGAAGTGCTTGTTTAGGGGTAGTGTTGCAAATTATGAGACGGTGAAGACTCACACGGATCATCTACTTGTATGTATAGAAGAAAAAGCATAGCTAGTTATGTAAAAAAAATGAGGACGCAAAACAAAGCCCTTTTGTTTGGTTTAACCAGCTCATAGAACAGTGGATTTTTAAATTATATCACAATAGGCACCTAAATTCCAAACATTCAACATCTTTCAGACGACTTTAGGTCATAACAATTTACCAGTCGCTGAATATTGAATATTGCCTATGGTCATGAGCTATCGGTAATGACCGAAAGAATGAGATCGCGAATACAGGCGGCCGAAATGAGGTTTCTCCGCAGGGTGTCTGGGCTCTCCCTTAGGGATAGGGTGAGAAGTTTGGATATCCGGGAGGGCCTCAGAGTAGAATCGCTGCTTCTCCACGTCGAAAGGAGCCAGATGAGGTGGTTTGGACATCTGGTGCGGATGCCTCCTGGGCGGCTACCCGGAGAGGTTTTCCGTGCATGTCCTACAGGGAGGAGGCTCCGGGGCAGACCCAGGACTCGCTGGAGGGATTATATCTCTCGGCTGGCCTGGGAATGCCTCGGCATCCTCCCCAAGGAGCTGGTAGAGGTAGCTGGGGAGAGGGAGGTCTGGGTATCTCTCCTGAAGCTGCTACCCCCGCGACCCGAACCCCAGACAAGCGGAAGGTGATGGATGGATGGATGGATGAATATTGAATGGCAAATGGTTCTGTTGAATGCAGTCAATCGTTCTTGGCGGATCTAAGTGGTTACATTTATAGGGTTTGGCCAAAACCAGGATTAAGTGAGTTACTACTTATGCATAATTGGAATTATATGTACACTACTGGGGAAATTTTAGACATTACAAAATACAAATTTTTAGTGGCCCCTACTGTACTTCATGGCTTTAGGACTTCACTATTGCATTAGAAGTAAATGAAGACACTAAATAACAGTCAAATGTGGTCATACTTCCAACTAAGGTTTACAATTTGTCTTGCAGCATTTTGTACTGGAGAGTTTGAGTGACGATTCATAGCCACTGAGAATGTCACTGCAGTTGTCTAATTAGCTATACAAAAGACATTGTTACATTTGATGGATAATGAACAGTAGGAAAATAGAGGTGTATGAATCATACCTTAGATCATTTTTAGAGGACAGAAGTATACCGGAAAACGTCACTGATAAGGTAATGAGTGTCTAGCTGGCTGATAACATTTCATAGGAAATGAAATCTCCATCGGTTTGCGCCACAAAGTCATCAAATTTTTATTCTAATATCAAATGTTTATACAACACAATGATAATGCAAATTATCTAGAGGGATATCTAAAGCCAAAGTGAAACATTTTTTAGTATAGAAAAATATAGAAAGTATAGAAAATATACTATTTTAATTTTCCCCCAGACAATTTAAAACATATTAAATTGTATTATATTTCAAAGTAAGTCAAATTAATGCTGGTTTGAAGCTATGTACATACATTTGTCGTTATTAGCTAGTATATGTCATAAAGCATGGGCATTTGAATTCTTCAGTAATACTAATGATGGAGTTATTATTAGGTATACTGACATGTAACTGTTGTCAGAACCTGTATACTGACATATAACTGTTGTCAGAACCTGTATCTGGTACGAAATACAGTTTAATTAGACTAATGCAGGGGTATTCAACTAAAATTTAAAGAGGTCCAGTTAGAGAAAAATTCTTGAAGCAAAGGTCCGGAAGATCATAATATTAACTATTTAATAGTGTAATATATATTTAAGTAGCCTATTAGTTGCATCAACATTGTATGTAATCAGTACCTGACTGTCAAATCAAATTAATTCAGTACAATTCAAAAACGTTATTTTTTTGTCACGTGACATAGAACTTCGGCCAGTTG